GTGAAGGAAAAGACCAGAACCCCACTTCAGTGTGTATTGTATCTTTAGCAAGTCTTGAGGTACCAGTTGTGAGTTAGTTCATCTTTTTTTTATCAGTTTAATCAATTAACTACTAGAGTTAGAAGCCAAGAGTTATTTCTTCTTATTTTACCAGTTCAATCAATAATAACTAATGTGCTTAGGTGTAACCTACCAATTTCTTCTCTAGGTCAACATTTACAAAATGCCCACTATGTGCCAGGCACTGTGCTAGATGTAACATTTAAAAGAACCTCAAGTTGTTCCTAATCTAGTCAAAAGAAATGGAGTCCAATCAATCAGTTACCAAACAGAATAAAGAGCACTGGGCCAGGGGTAAGTGTAGGGTGCTTTGGAAACCCGCAGAGCATACCTAAGTCAGAATGGAAGGGTCGAGGAGAGATTCCCAAACAAGGCGATGTCTTAGATGAGTCACACACATACCTGCAACTACCATCAAAAAGCATATGCACTCCTATCATGGTCACTTTGAGGTCTGAAGGAATGCTTGAAATTAGGACTATCTCTACCAAAAGGTACAACCCACTAGCACAGGTCAGCAAGCACAAAGATATTGATTCATGATGAACAAACTTCTGCTAAGGAAGCAAAATAATGGCCAATGGAGAGGATGACTTTTCAGCCTCAGTAACAATAAATGCCAAGAGGAAAATCACGATGGTGATTTAGATTGGAGAGTAGTAAAAGCAATATCTTATGTTTAAGTACTGTTTTACAGTTTCTTAAATTTTTACATTATATAACGTCACTCAACCCCCCAAAAAGCCCATGAGATACATAACTAGAGTAGGTGTTATTATATGTATATTATTGTCATAATCTCATATCACCAGTAACTTCCTATTTTTTTAAACTAAGACTTGATGAGTTTAAGAGATCCGTTCCAAATCATACAGCTGCTTGGTTATCAGGGCTTATACTCATATTTTTAAACACGTAACCCAGCGAGTTAGAGATTAAGTCATTCGATTACATGGCTTCAAACAACATCCTCAGACCCTGAGAGTCACAAGATGGTTAGTTAGCCCTACGGAAAAAAATGCTGAGTTACATCCGGACAGAAAATCTATCAGAAAGGTTCAGAGCAGATGGAAGGAAGCAAGGAAGGAAGGAAGAAAGACAACACTATATAATCACGAACCTATATTGAAAAGAAACAATGAACCACCGCTGGAAAACCTATAGTCGAAACCTTTGCCCAATAGCAAGCGACTGAGAGAAAACCAAAGGGAAAGTGATACTTGATGGAAAGACTGACAACGGCACAAGCGATTAATGAGATCATTCCGTGGCCAACAATACAATGATCAGCCACAAATGTGCACGGGGTGCTGGAAATGTGCATGAACGACCGTGAAGGAGGGAGGGGGGATAAGGATGACAAGGTGAAGGACGCAGGGAAGAGAGAACGAAAGGTGACAGGCTACAGAGCAGGCAAGACAGGATGCAGACCGGCAGGCAGCAGATGGGCAACACGGAGGGGTCCGGGGGAGGAGGGGAGGGAGAATGCAGGATGGTCTTTTTTTTTTTTTTTTAAGCGGTGGAAACAGGACTCCGACAATCCAGAGTGCGGGAAGAGCAGAAGCCACGGCACTCACAACCAGGTGGCGAGACTAGCAAGGTGACAACTCCGAGGTGGCAGTGGCTGGGGTGGGCGGCGTGCTACCTAAGGAAGAAAACAGTCGTCCCCGACCGGGAAGCACGTCCTGCAGTGCCTGAAGTTAGTACCTGTAACCGCGGTTGGAAGCCCGGGGTGGAATCCGGTAGACGCTGACATCAGGCTTCACACACAGCACCGACTCGTACTCCAACTCGGCCGCCATCTTGGCTCTGCTCTCCGCGCCACCGGGGGCGTAGCCTAGAGAGCGGGGGCAGAACGGGGGCGGGGCGTTGTGACAATTCCGCTGACGCTACTTCCGCGCATGTTTAGCTTGGTTCTGAGATTAACCTCTGTCGCGGAAGTTAGGGAAGCCATATTGAAATCTGGCACGGTGAGGTTGTGTAGCTCGCCATCTTCGGTAAAGGCAGAAAATGCAATCTCTTTGCATGACTCACTTGATGGAAATCTCCATCCCTGGGAGATGATGAGGAGAAGCGCCATCTTGGGCCAGCAGGTGCCTGCAGTGCCCAGGAAGACGAGGACTATCTTGAAATCGGGCGAATTTATTTCCAGGATTGACTTTAACTGTAGGGGTTTTGTTGTTGTTGTTTTTGGCAGGCATGGGATATTATCCTCCAGGGATTCCCAGTTCGGTTCCTACAGGAAGTGGATGATCCAGCCCTACTCACAGTGGATTTTTAACCCTCCGGAGTCTAAACTTTAAAAATATCCACACTAAGGGATCATCTCAGTAAAATAAGCCAGCAAGTAAAAGAAAACTACCAGATGGTTTTATAGGATAGTAAGAGGTGGGGGAAAATAAGGGATTGGAGGAAATAGTAATTATAACAAAGTAAAAATCAAAGTCAACAGGCAACTATAATCCAGAGACATTCTTTGGGGGGTGGGGGTGGGGGAGAAAATGGGTAAAACACGTGGGAAGAGCACAAGGGACTATGGTGATGGTGCAGGGGTAAACTGATGGTGTGATCTCCTTGGGAACCAAAAATGAGTGGATAAAGCATACCATGTGTGAAAATAAAAATGATGTAAAAAATACATAAATTTTTTAAGATTAAAAAAAGTCCACCCTGATTAATTTACTTTATACCACCCTTTTATCTTAGAATTTCTAAAACTGCTCCTGTTGAAAATAATGGGGGATCAGTTAAACTCCTGACAATCAGAAAGCATAATGAACTATATTATTCAGTAGCCACTATTCGCTACCAGTTTTATTAGTATGATATATCCTACTGAACGCTCCAAAAATATGTTCTACACTCCAAATGCTGTCACGTTAAGTGATTTAATTAGCACAGATAGAAAATGATAAAACTAAGGTAAGAACTCCCATCTGGCTACAACTTCACTAATGACACCATTTCATTATATTGACTAGTTTAAAGCCTGTCTAATTTGTCTATTCTATGTAATAAATCCCTGGCAAGGATATGGGGATTAGATACTTTCATATACTGTTGGCAGAAATATAAATTGGTATATACTTTGTTGAAAGGAAATTTAGTAAAATTGGTCAAAATACTGCATACAACCTTCAATTTAGTATATTCACTTACACGATAGAGAAACTTTATATGCACAAAAAGTAGGTACAATAATGTTTATTATGAAATTTTTATAATTTCATGAAAGATGATGAATATCCTTCAGTAGGACGTGATTAATGACTCACCATTTTACAAGTTAAAAAAAATAATAAAGACCAAAACTATGTCTCATGATTAGATCTTATACTAAGATTATTGTGTACATTATACTCTGCTTTTCTGCATCATCCTATAAACTCTCCACTGGCTGTACAGATAATTCATAATACTGCCCCAATTTCTCCTTCCACACTCACTTAGAAACTTTTCTCTCACACCCCCATCCCACAGTTACTCCCAATATCCTTTATTATAGCTTAAGTGATCATGATGCTATAGTTTCTCCAAACATACCATTTTTGTTCATGCTAAATATATTGCACAGGCTGATATGTCCTTACCATTCATCCCTTGATAAAATAACAGACACCATTTAAACAGAGTTTCTCTGAGAATATCCTTAACTTCCCTAAATAGAATTAGTAATTCCTTTCTCTAGAGTCTCACATTTTTTATTCTTTGGCATTAGTCTTTATCACATTGCATTTAATAGTTTATACCTATTTTCCAAAAACAAGAAATATGTATTTCCACCTGTTTCCAAAACAGAGTAAGAACTTTGTAAATTTTCATGTTAAATGAATGACCATATCTATCCATATTTACAAGGGTATTTTGTTCTTTCCAAATCAAGAAAACTTTCGAAGTCTTGACTGGAGTTAGCCTTTGCTTACCACTAGAGGGCAGTAGCTATACAATTCAAAGGTTCTGGACTGGAAAAAAAAAATCAAGCTAATTTTCTCACAAGTGTGACTTTCTAAGAATATGTGGTGTAATTAAATTCAACAAAAGCACTTTCGTTGGAAATGATAGAGGCCTTATTCACCTCAAACTCAAGTTTTCTTAAATGTAATTTAAACATGAAAATAAATGTTGCACTTCTTTTAATTGATCTCCTTGGGAACGTATTTCCTAGTCCTTTCTTTGCTCCCACATAAAAAATTATCACAGATTTTAAATTCTGATTTACCTTTGTTCAGGGTTATCTATCATAAAATGGTACATGTACAGGAGAAAATATATGTAGATCATATGTTCAACAAGAGGTTATACACAAAGTCACATAATTAGACAACAAAATAATAAACAACCCAACCACGAAATGGGCATACAATTTGAATAGACACTTCACCAAAGAAAATATACAGATGATCAATGGGAATATGGGGAAAATGCTCGACAGTAATTATTATTTGGGAAATCAAATCAAATCCACTATAAGATACCACCTCACGCCTGTAACAACACCTATGTCGAAAAACTGAAAACAGGGCTTCCTGTTTCCAGGTGGCTCAAGGGGTTAGGTCTCCGTGCTGTCAAGCTATTTCAGCCACTGTGGGATGAGTTCAATTTCTGGCCAGGGAGCTAACCCACATATATCAGATCTCTCCTGTCTTGCCCACGACTTCCCTCAGCAGTGTATTTCAGTAGATATATTCCTTTTCTGCTCCCCATGCCACTCTGGTGAATCCTCTTGCCTCCCCACCCCACCTGAACCTAGTTCTTGTATGCATAAATAAATAAAAATAAGCCTTTTTAAAAAAATTGTTAAGTTTTGGTAAGGATGTAGAGAAAAAGAAACCTTCATATACTATTGCTGAAACTAAATTGATGCAGCCTTTATAGAAATGGAGAAATATGGAGATTTCTTAAAAATCTAAAATTAGAAATACCATATGATACAGCATCCCACTAGTAGGCATTTATCCAAAATATATGAAAATACTAATTCAAAAAGATAAATGCACCCATTTGTTCATTGCAACCCAATTTACAATAGTGAAGACATGGAAACAATCTAAATGCCTTGACAAAGTAATCAATGGAGGCCCAACCAGGTGTCGCACTGGGTTAAAGCACAGCACTGCAAGTGAGCAGGAGCCGCTTCAGTACAAGTTCGATCCCCAGCCCCGGAGGTGACCCACATGGCGCAGCAGACCTCTCCTGACCTGCCCGCTGCTCCTCTCAGCAATGTACTTTGACTATCTGCCTGGTCTGCTCCCCACTCTCTTTGGTGAATCCTCTCACCGCCCCTGGACCTCTGGTCTATACCCCAGTTCTGTATGCATAAATAAATAAATCTTAAAAAAAAAAAAAAAAGAAGTCCATGGAATACTATCCAACTATTAAAAAGACGAATTCTTGCGTTTTTGACAACATAGAACATGAAATGATTGTGCTCACAATAAATGAAACTGAAAGAAATACTTGGAAATTACATTCTGATGTGGAATGTAAATAAACCAATAAACTAAATATCAAAACAAAGATAACTCAAATTCTAAGAAAAATATGGAGATTCCCAGATGGTAAGGGAGTTGGGGGAGCAGGGATGGGTAGAGGGAGAACTACAGTAAGAGGTTCCATGTGGTCTAAACACATATCAGGGTATGAAGTCATACTCCCAACACGTACATACTATTGTAAACCAAGGGTAATACAATAAAAATGTTATTCAAAACATGGTACTTGCTAACATACAACTTTCCTAAATCCTGAAGTTATTACAAACTCAGGATTAAAAATATTATGAAATTGGAATCATAGTTTATAAATCTCTTTTACTTAAGAGTGGACTTTAGTGCTCATAGGAAAGACTTGGATCCTGGATATTAAATCACTTGTCCAAAGGCACAGTTGATGGTGCAATCAGAATTGGAATGCTGTATCTCATAATTTACAGAAGATAAATTTTCACTATACCCCAATATCTAGATAAAGCACACCCACTACTGGCCCCAGAATAGCAACTTGGGTAGATTTGTCCACTGATCTATGTTTTTCATTTAATATAAGCCATAAATATAGCTGCACAAGTACAGAAATATAGATGTAATATTTACTGCAATATTTTTATAATTAAAAATGTAAATAATCTAAATGTCCATCAATATGGGATTAATTCCATAAATAAATGGCACATCTAGAAGTAAAGTACTACATGCCTGTTAACACTGACTTTGATCTATATGTTCTGATATGAAAAAAGTACATAAGTGAAAACCTTAAGGTCCAGATGAAAGATTTTAATATTAGGTCATTTATAGAAAAAATTAATATAGAGTCCTTAGCTTTGGTAGGCATAAAACTTTCATAAAGCTATAATTGAGATAATTTCTGGGAAGTGGAAACTAGAAACTAAAGGGTATTTTCATTCTACATCCTCTTTTTGTCTCCCTTCTAAAAATAGTAATGATTTGTACAGATAACCCAAGAGTGATTTGCATGAAACTTTAAAATATAAAAATAAAACTAGTTTGCCTACAAAGTCATATCTATGGAATAAAAGTACAGGGGAGGTGCCTCCCTGGTAGCAAGGGTTTTTAACAAGGGTTAAAAATCTTGACCCTCCCTGGTGGCGCAGCGGGTTAAAGCACTGACCTAAGACATGAGTTCGATCCCTGCCTGCCTCGGAGGAGATCCACATGGCGGGCATGGCAGACCTCTCCTGGCCCTCCCGCTGCTCCCCTCAGCAGTGTACTTCGTCGATCTGCCTGTTCTGCTCCCCACTCTGTCCCTGGTGAA